CTTAAGGCTACCTTCAGGCAATCAAACGAGTCGCCATCAAATTAGACAGATATAATCGAGATTGGCTCTAGGAAACCAGAGAAAAAAGTGTTGTTGACACCAATAAAGAATAGCATAGTCATAGTTGAGCAAACTCCATTACAACCTATTTGCACCAGACCTTTAGGGCTAGAGATGTCTCTGGTTCTGAAAGAAATTCAGAGGTAGGAAAAGATGTTTTGTCGTGGGACAACTCTACCAAAGAGAATATACTCAGTGGTGTCTTTCTCAGATACATTTAGTAGAGTTCCATCTATAGCCTAGTGTAGGATTATGCTCAATATATTAGTTTCGCTTAGGTACCGCTTAGGTGCCGCTTTGATCGAGAAGAAGCTGCAGAACTTTGCCAAAAAGAAACATGGTAAAACTCGTAAACATCAGAAGTCTTCGATGAGTGTAATGGGTTTCTCTCAGAAAAAATAATAAAAAATAATAAAAAATAATAAAAATATTAACGGTTATGCCGACATAGCAAGTATGCCATTTGCGTACTCAAAGAAATATTTTCTAAAAAAATAATAAAAACTACTTTTCAAAATACATCAAAAATATTTTCTGTAATGATAAAAAATAAAGAAATAAAAAAAGTATGAAATTTCTGATTTTCCTGTTTTAAATTAATAAACGAGTCTACGGAATAGTGATTTTATTGTTTTAGTTTGAAGAGATCACTGGTTTTCAGATTAGCTTATTAATTCAAAACAAAAAAAATCGAAAATCAAACCTTTTTTTTTAATTTTAAGCAGAAAAATCAGGAATTTTCTACTTTTTTAATTTTTATTATTGTAGAAACCATTTTTGTTTTATTTTAAAGTAGTGGTTTTTATTGTTTTTCAAAAAATCATTTTTTGAGTACACAAATGGCATACCTGTGGTTTCGGCATACCTGTTAGTATTTCTATTATTTCTTGAGAATACTTTTTTGTAAGTCTATCACACTGTTCCTAGAGGCCTGAGGTACACAGGTCCTTCAGTGATTTTTTCAATCGCTTACGCTGTATTAATAACTCTACAAAAAAAGTATTCTCAAGAAATAATAGAAATACTAACAGGTATGCCGAAACCACAGGTATGCCATTTGTGTACTCAAAAATAAAATATTTCTTAGCAAAAAGTAAACCCATTACTCTAAAATAAATCAAAAATGTTTTCTGCAATGACAAAAAATTAAAAAAGTAGAAAATTTTAATTTTCTGTTTCAAATTAATAAAAAAAAATTGAAAAATTGATTTTTTTTAAATCTATAACAAGAAAATTAAGGATATCCTTCTTTTTTTTTTTTGATTTATTTGAAAATAGTGCTTTTTATTATTTTTCAAAAAATATTTTTTTGAGTACGCAATTGGCATATTTGCCATGTCGGCATGAATATTAACGGAATTGGGATTGAATAAAAATCCTGAAGATATTTTCTTGACATTTGTTGTGAGATGAAGAGGGAATAGATTCGCAAAAAAAAAAAAAAAAAAAAAAAAAAAAACGGTAGGACACAGAGAAGACCTGTTGGAGCTTGTATAGAGTTTCTGTTCTCAGAAGAAATATGATAAGATGTCGAGGTATTTATACTTTTTCTTCTCGGTCAAAATATTGTTTTGGGGTCAGCTTCTTGACTACGGATTGGTTTGCTAGATCAGGAGCGATTAAGAGAAATGCCTTTAGAGGAAGTTGTCAGCTCAGCCAATAGTACATGATCTGACCTGAACTTGAATAAACTATTACATATTTGTCAAATGCCAATGCCAATGTATTTGTCAGCTCTAACTGTCACTTTATGAGGGCCATTAATAATAACAAAGTCACTAGGTTCATAATCTCTGTCTATGAGGATGATGTAGTACTTCTAGTAGAATGAGCGAATGTCAGTGACTATAGATCCATTGCAATTGCCATAGATGTGATCTGGTTTTTTGCCATGATCATCATTTATGTTGTATACACAGCATTATTTATCCCTTCTTACACTAGTTATGTCCTAAAAGACTAAGTATTGATGCCATGTATAAATACATCTTTCAATCACAGTTTTATCCGCAGCTTCGATGGATGTCTTCTATCTTAGTTTAAACATGTTAAAGATCAGACCATCACATAATCACAAATTGACATCTGCATTAATGCCAATGGTAGGCGAGGTCTGTGTCCTGATCATGTACCCAGTTCTTGTGTACCTTAATTCATTCAACCGATTAGCTAGTGTATACATACTCAGTCCCAAATCAAGGATAATCAACTATCATACAAACAGTATAAATACAATACAAAGTATAACCTTTAATAAAGAAGAACTTCTTTTTGGCCGTTTTGGTTCTAATCGACTTATTGATTTAACCATTTTATTAGTGATTATATTACAAATTATTGATCTATGCATATAAATTCATATATGTTCACAACAGACACGAGTATCTCAAGTAGTTCTTAGTCACCGTGTTCTATTTCTCAAGACTGTTTGTGATGAAGTGTCCTCGTTTCCAGTATCTGATCATACCAAACAAAAGGCTTCTGCCATTCAATACACATAGAGAGAGGCACAAATTCAGCTTGATGCGCACAACGTACTAGCCAACCAACCCTCTACAGAAGCTCAACGAGACCTTGCAAGTCTAGCTGATACGCTCTTGTCTGCTGATAAGTTACTAGAGATAGTTTATGACCATACTTTGTATGAACCTGCTTTATGCTTGTTGAATCTTATAGAAAGATGCGATTAGGAGTTTGTCAAACGTGCTTGGACAGGTATTATTGAATCATGTATGTAAAAAGAGAATAACAGACATGTTATCTAAATCTGTTTGATAGGCTGAAATGAAAAAGAACTTGAATCAAAGGTGAATGAACTGACTAACTGCCTTTACCCATTCATACCTTATTTCCCTGTTTGTAAGTAAGTTGCTGTGTTTATGGATTGCTTGTTTAATCAACTTTTTACTTTGGATATCATTCTATAAATCTTGTAGCAGTATTTTAATGCTAATTTTGCCTCTGATACACTTATTGATGCTAGAATACTTTCAGAAATAGTTTCTGATGCAAAAAAGACTGTTTCTTCACATTGAACGCTATATTTGTTCTTTCTTAATGAAAGAAAAAACTCAAATCGAGGGAGATTAGGCATCAAGTTGAAATGTCTTAATTCAAATAGCTTCATCTTCATCGTTGTTGTGAACATATATGAATTCATATGCATAGATCAATAAATGATGATCATGGCAAAAAACCAGATCACATCTATGGCAATTGCAATGGATCTATAGTCACTGACATTCGCTCATTCTACTAGAAGTACTACATCATCCTCATAGACAGAGATTATGAACCTAGTGACTTTGTTATTATTAATGGCCCTCATAAAGTGACAGTTAGAGCTGACAAATACATTGGCATTGGCATTTGACAAATATGTAATAGTTTATTCAAGTTCAGGTCAGATCATGTACTATTGGCTGAGCTGACAACTTCCTCTAAAGGCATTTCTCTTAATCGCTCCTGATCTAGCAAACCAATCCGTAGTCAAGAAGCTGACCCCAAAACAATATTTTGACCGAGAAGAAAAAGTATAAATACCTCGACATCTTATCATATTTCTTCTGAGAACAGAAACTCTATACAAGCTCCAACAGGTCTTCTCTGTGTCCTACCGTTTTTTTTTTTTTTTTTTTTTTTTTTTTTGCGAATCTATTCCCTCTTCATCTCACAACAAATGTCAAGAAAATATCTTCAGGATTTTTATTCAATCCCAATTCCGTTAATATTCATGCCGACATGGCAAATATGCCAATTGCGTACTCAAAAAAATATTTTTTGAAAAATAATAAAAAGCACTATTTTCAAATAAATCAAAAAAAAAAAGAAGGATATCCTTAATTTTCTTGTTATAGATTTAAAAAAAATCAATTTTTCAATTTTTTTTTATTAATTTGAAACAGAAAATTAAAATTTTCTACTTTTTTAATTTTTTGTCATTGCAGAAAACATTTTTGATTTATTTTAGAGTAATGGGTTTACTTTTTGCTAAGAAATATTTTATTTTTGAGTACACAAATGGCATACCTGTGGTTTCGGCATACCTGTTAGTATTTCTATTATTTCTTGAGAATACTTTTTTTGTAGAGTTATTAATACAGCGTAAGCGATTGAAAAAATCACTGAAGGACCTGTGTACCTCAGGCCTCTAGGAACAGTGTGATAGACTTACAAAAAAGTATTCTCAAGAAATAATAGAAATACTAACAGGTATGCCGAAACCACAGGTATGCCATTTGTGTACTCAAAAAATGATTTTTTGAAAAACAATAAAAACCACTACTTTAAAATAAAACAAAAATGGTTTCTACAATAATAAAAATTAAAAAAGTAGAAAATTCCTGATTTTTCTGCTTAAAATTAAAAAAAAAGGTTTGATTTTCGATTTTTTTTGTTTTGAATTAATAAGCTAATCTGAAAACCAGTGATCTCTTCAAACTAAAACAATAAAATCACTATTCCGTAGACTCGTTTATTAATTTAAAACAGGAAAATCAGAAATTTCATACTTTTTTTATTTCTTTATTTTTTATCATTACAGAAAATATTTTTGATGTATTTTGAAAAGTAGTTTTTATTATTTTTTTAGAAAATATTTCTTTGAGTACGCAAATGGCATACTTGCTATGTCGGCATAACCGTTAATATTTTTATTATTTTTTATTATTTTTTATTATTTTTTCTGAGAGAAACCCATTACACTCATCGAAGACTTCTGATGTTTACGAGTTTTACCATGTTTCTTTTTGGCAAAGTTCTGCAGCTTCTTCTCGATCAAAGCGGCACCTAAGCGGTACCTAAGCGAAACTAATATATTGAGCATAATCCTACACTAGGCTATAGATGGAACTCTACTAAATGTATCTGAGAAAGACACCACTGAGTATATTCTCTTTGGTAGAGTTGTCCCACGACAAAACATCTTTTCCTACCTCTGAATTTCTTTCAGAACCAGAGACATCTCTAGCCCTAAAGGTCTGGTGCAAATAGGTTGTAATGGAGTTTGCTCAACTATGACTATGCTATTCTTTATTGGTGTCAACAACACTTTTTTCTCTGGTTTCCTAGAGCCAATCTCGATTATATCTGTCTAATTTGATGGCGACTCGTTTGATTGCCTGAAGGTAGCCTTAAGTCATGTTCCTATGGCGCAGGTCTCTATCATTCACATGTTATCCGGTGTCTTAATCCGGTATCTTAATATATGTATACTATGCTCAACTCACTCACAGCATGCATCGAATAAACTTCTATGCATTCCCTCCTATACAGATCGTCTTTATGAAACATACTACTAAAAACACTCTACTCCTTTTAGCAACTAACCAATTATCTCTCTTTTTTCTTTGGCTACAGACATACGTCCACAAATATCGTCAGATCAGCACTTTTTCCTCTATGCATTTCTTATCCTTGTCCTCTTAAGAGGGGTTTAGTCTGATCTAATTTAATTGTTCTGACGAATTGATCAAGTCCAAATAATCTAGACTAAATTAAGCCGTATGCTCAAAATTAAATCAATAGATTTGACAAAATTTATGCAGATACACAAATGTGCTATTTGTGTTAAATAATCGCTTTCAAGTAAAAAGCAATTAAAAAAATTTGGTTCTTCACTGCAGCGTAAGCGATGGAAGATTTTGGCCAAATCTTCACTGAAATACGGAGGATTTTTTTCATTAATGGAAGAAAAATGTTTAATTTTTTTTTTGTTTTTTTTTTTGTTTTTTTTGTTTTTTTTTGTTTTTTTTGTTTTTTTTTTGTTTTTTTTTTGTTTTTTTTTGTTTTTTTTTGTTTTTTTTTGTTTTTTTTTTGTTTTTTTTTGTTTAAATTAGATATAAAATTAAAAAAAAAATCGAAAATAAAAATTTAGAAAACATTTAATATTTTATTTTTAATTCAAAATTATAAAATATAATACAAGAAAAAAACTTTATTGTTCTCTACTTATCCATGCTTATCCAGGGTCATCCTTGCTCATCCATGATTACGTATGCCCACTCATGATTGTACGTGTTCATCCATGCTATTCCTTACTAATTCATCAATGTCAAAATAAGAGCAAGAAAATTAAGATTGATCAAAGAGTGCGGTTTATTGAGTCAACAGTAGATTCATATTTATAGAAGATTACTTATGTCAGGGTTCAGCACGATTTTCAAGAATCTTTATTCCATAGATAGTAGAATTGGTCCAGATGATTCACTGGCTACTGTTGTACAAGGATCTGTATTAGATGAACCAATCAATCTCTAATTAGCTCAGTATGATTGACAAGTTGATACCTAAGATTTTCCAATTAATTTAAGACATTTTACCAATAAGACAATGGCATAAGTAGACATAAATCATAGTAAAGTGTCAAAATAGATATTCCATAAAATTTATGCAATATATAACTTACATTTTTCTGATACTCAATAGTATTCATTCATTTTTCATTTAAACCTTATGCTTATTTTTGAATGAGACCTCAGTCACAGTGACACCTATTTTAGCAAAGCTACCCTAAAGTGCGTTTGTTAGTACTCAGTATGCAGACTAGAAACGCTTAACTTGCCTCTATTTTAGCGATAAACACTCTGCTGTGTATTTTGATCATACGACCATTTTGTTCAACTAGTGTGTTCTGCGTTTGATAAGGCAAGCCAGATGGAAATCACTTATTAGGACTTCTTCATAAAAAAAGAAAAAAGGTTCAAAGTGATAACTACAAAGCCTAATACCAGTATATTCTTAGTGAAAGCAGAAAAAGTAGCTGTTAGGTCATCACCTAGATAAAGCCAAAGTTGAGATTCTTTGCCTTCGTCAATATCTTTCACAAGGCCTTTAAACCTTGCTTTACAGCTTCAATTGTTCTGACAGTCTTCTCAGAGAACATAGAATTTTTTGAACTAACAATATTATATAAAAGTAACAAGCAAAAAGAAGAGGGAAACTTTAAGTCAGTCTTTTACTCCAACATATCTGTATGCTTTCAAATTACAAGTAACTGTCTGGTTGGACCATAGAGTAACAGAATCAGTAAAATAGACCACTGAGGCGATTACAGGCATAACTAAACAGAGGAACAACTCATGACTGATGCCTCAGGAAAACGTTTATAATACTGCTGTAGACAACTTTGTAGAGGCGGTCAGAACCTATAACAAAGACGAAGACGAGGTATTAATAGGCCTCGCAACCACAAGGTTTGATCTACTCAAGTTGGTTCCTTAAGTATCTGTCTATGAGGCGTTCGAACAAGTGTTACTAGTGTATCAAGATATTTTCTCCCAGCTCCATTTCTCTCAGACGTGACGAAGATATTCAATCAAGGCCTCAGTATGTTTTCGTAGTGTATGTTTATTTTTTGGGGGAGGGGGATTTCTTATTTCTGATTGAGAATCTAATCAACTCTCATTCAGAAAACAAGAGGACTCGAAAAAATTGATCATCCTAATCAAATCTAATATATTTTTATGTTGTGTATGTCAAGCTCTTTTTGTATCTTTTACAAGTGCGTTTCTTTCCTTTTGATCTTTGCTTCTTTTTGCCTTACAATCAAGTCATGTCTTTGCCTAAACCTCGTGCTCGTGAATTGTCTATTCGTGCTCAATTATTTACAAAAGCATTCTTAGACGAATGTTATGCTTGTAATCTACTTGTATAACGGCTTTATCTACGCAAGCTTGCTGCTTTATTGTTGTCTTTTATTTTCAGTATGAGTCGATGAGAGTAAATTTCACTTGTTGAACTACAATTATGTTGTATCAAGCACTCTATGACACTATGTTCTGCTTATGCGTATCTGATGTCTAGCATTGCAAGTGTTGGTAAGGGAAAACGAGTGGTCATCAAAGCAGAGAGCAAGAAAATGAACATTGGGGTTTGAAATACAGTAGCATCCTCCTACAAGACATTCATTGTTAGTTGTGCTCAAAGTTACTCTCTTTAGCCCTAAGAGTATCATGTATTATAATAAGTTCTACTCAAAAATGCTCTTCACACTAAATGGTGCTAAAACAAGTGCCATCTTAATAAGTAGTATCTACTAAAAAGGACTTCTTTTGTACTGATTATAGTGTACAATGAGCTTTGAATGTAGATTTGAAGGCGATGCTCAAATTAAGTCGCCTTTTTTATCTTAGTAAACTTGCTTTCTTTTTCTCGGGAGTACTTGGAGATGGCTTCGTCTCATTTCGGTTGGATCATATTTTTTTTTTTTGTGAAATATTTTTGTTCAAAATGTATGTTTCAGTTACACATCACAGAGGGGCGTAACATGGATAAGCTGAAAAAAAAAAAAAAAAAAAGAGTGCACAAAATTAGTCTTTGAGAGACTCAAAAAACGTTTACAAGCAAATAATGTTGGTGTAGTGAGATCAAAATCTGACTAATAATGTCGGAAATGACCCACTCAGGGTTGAAGGGTTGATTGTCCAAGGCGAAACGCCAGCAAGCGGACCATATTCTCCGTTGGCAGACAGATAGAACCGTAAAGAGACGACTGTCAGGCAGTAGGAAAGGAGGGCAGGGTTCGAGACAGAGTAGGCGATAAACCGTATCAGCTGAAAAATACATCTGTGGATAGAAATAAGTGAGGACTTCAATCCAAATGGTCCATTTTCAAGGACAGTAAAGAATGAAATGTTCAAATGAGTCAATACTCGAAGGTTGGATCAGACCTACATTGGGTCATTCCAAAATTTTCTGATCGAGTTTTTTTTTTTTCATCTTCACGAGCCTTCGTGTCAAATGAACCTCAATTCACGCACTTTTATCACAAGTTGACTATACAACATGCTAACATAGAACCGCTGATCATGACTCTAACCAATCAATTATCGCTTTTCCTTCTATGGTTACAAACATATGCCCACAAAAAACATTAGCCCAACACTCTCCTTTCACAAGCCTTTTTTGCCCTTGATTCTCCAAGAGTCTTTTCAGTTTAAGTAGTCCTTCTTATGAAATGATCGAGTCCGAGCGATTAAAGGCCAAATTAGGTCGTGCGCTCAAAAGGACTATTTATAAATATCATCAATAAAAACAATTTAAATACGAGCCTTCGTGATCCTCCATGGGTCAAAAAAATAAATTTCACAAAACAGCCAAATCAATGGTACCATTTGATTCCTGGAATTGAGAGAAAATGTTCTAAATAAATAAATAAACTGTTTTGATAATGTAGTTGTCGAGTAATGAGCCATCAAAGATTGGCTCGTTTAAGCTGTGTTTTGAGCATTTTTGCTCTGAATGTCATATATAATGCGTTATCAATAGACTTTCAAAAGAAACAGTGTGCTATCTAGAGTGCCAAAGAACATAGTCAAATAGAAAATAGGCATTCTCTAATGTGAATGTGATGACAAATGGACACAAGAGATACAGAGGGACTATGCAGCGGAGATTACAATGGAAGCAAGCCTGATTCTTCATTTCGCCGCATCAAGATCGAGCTTTTTGTTGAGAACTGTATAAAGATACAGTTATTTTGCCTTGGTATAGTGACAAAAGTTGTGGATGGCTGCTTTCTGAGTCTATTGATCCAGAGAACACAGCAACTTTGCTGCTAAAATATTGAGAGAATCAATAAAAATGTTTATGAGGGTTTTCATCCATATCTCATCATTGCCATAGTACAGTTAGCATGCAAGTACACGCACCAAAAACCAGAGATTTTGACACACATCTTGAGTATTTATACTTGTCGATAGCTCCATTTTTTCGTCTTGTGGCGGCAAAAAAAAAATCAAAGTTGTCAAAATCAGCATTTTCCGTGAGTGGTACCTTTTGGTCAAAAGGCATGTTTTGTTCAGAAAAATACAGAAAACAATTGTTTTGTCTATACACATGTATAAAGATATGTATGGCTCAAACATACTGTATATATGCTTTTGCTCAAAGAAAACAAAACTGGTTACAAGTGTTGGCTTACAATTCAATAATGACAACGTGGGTTAGGTTTGATCACTTTTCAGCCTAAAGAATCCCCCCCCCTCATTTTTTTCTTTTAAAGCAATTCTTTTCATAGTAGATCTCTAAATTTGTTTGGTTGTACATACATGAAGTAGGACGCGAGATGCGCCTTATTTTTTTTTTGTTATTGAATCAGATAACTAAAGATAGTTAACAACGCTTTTATTTAAACGGCTCTTTTTACTTGCCCCCTGAAAATCATTTCTTTTCTCGAAACAATAATAAGATAAAATAGCATTAGGTTTGTCTATATCATACCATCAAAGGCCTTTCAAAACGAAAAAGGTTATTTGCTACACAGAGCTCAAAGTGCGCCCCTGTAAAGTTAAAGCTTGTAATCATCAGCACATCATGATGCATGCAGTAATAATGAGAAGATTGTTCATGGAAGAAAGATAAAGGATAAAAAAATCAGATAAATTCCATAATTTCCTACTAAATAAAGATCAGCTTAATACAATCTCACAAATGATGATCACTTTCTATTTCCTTTTGTGTGATGTCTTTAATCACACGAATCTAGGCTATGGAACAAATAGGAAGCCATGATGGCGTTTATTTGGAATTTGTTGGTCTTAATCTGATAGTTTAAAAAGGCATACGACAATCTGATAAGGGCTCTTGTCGATTTCAAGCTTTTAGATGTAACCTATATTGCAGTACAAAAAATTAACGTTGGAGACACAAATACAGTGTGCATGCGTACCACAAGCTGCTTATAAAAGCTAGAAATTAATCTAATTGTTTCAATAACCAAATAAAAAATCACTGGAAAATGTTAGTCTAGATAGACTATTTTTGTTTTTTTAAGACAAAAAGATAATCAGCTAGTCATTTGTGTAAGCCATGTTAACTATTTATGGAGGAGGAATAAAAAAAAAAAGACAGATATCTAGTAGGTGCCACTTTTTTTTTAATACTGATTGGATAAGCTCAATCTCTGAGTATCGAAACTTGAGAACATAGAAAGATGCTTCATTGAATTTGTTTTGTGCTTCATTTTCTTTTTGATGGTCAGGTTTTAGTTAGGTGATCAAGAAACTGACCTTTAGCATGACTGAACGGTATCTTAATCTAATTATCTCAGCTTGAATATGTGAATTGAATGGATGGTTATTGTTGACAGAGACATATATGTAAAAGTAGAAAGCCATGCATTGATCATGCCCATCTTAAAAACCCCAGTCTCACCAAAACTATATGTTGCTGATTTGGGAGTGCAAAAAAAAAGAAAGGAAATCTCTAACATAAAAGGCGCAAGCACCCTTGTAAAAAAAGGGGATGTTTGTATTTCCAGCCCTTCTACCATATTGTAGGACAAAATGACGACGCATCAAGGATAAGCTTATATAGTCCCCGTTTTGCGTATGGTTACAATCTGATCCTTTGTGTGCTGTACTAGGCCGGAAGCTAAAAAAAAATAAGAGCAGTTTATAAACAGTAGTATTTGCTTGATTTAAAACCAAAAAAAAAAAAAACTTTATTATGCGGCTAACTGTACCTATTAATCATCATTTTGTAACCATCAAGATTGGTTTACCTTGTTAAAAATAAGGTCCCCCTTTTTTAATGCATGTTTGTGTAATGTTATTGTTACTGCTTGTTTTTCTTCAGTAAAATCTGATAATCTTAACAAAGACAAAACGATAAGAATGACTTTATTTTCTTCATTTTTTTTCGTGTCAATAGTAGAAAAGCAAGGTCAGGTAAAATAGGTCAGGTAAAGGGATGGCCATCAGTGTACCAAAGCTCAAAGGTGACAGTGTTACACATCATGTTCATAAAGATCTGATAAAATTTTTGTAGTGTCATCATATTTTTCGCTTCTTTAAAGCACCGATTATCTTATTTATTTAAGTAGTCCAAGTTGACAGAAATTTAAACTTGTTTCTTTTTCATCTCTCAATTTTTTTTTTCTTAAACATGCCCGTCGCATCCACTGATTTTAACAAAAACGAGCACTTTGCTAGTTTCGCTACCACATCTCGTTTGGTTGCTTGTTTGACAAGTGAATCTTTGGTTCCCGTCTATTTTGTGCCCTCTAAAGAAGAAGGCTTAGTTGGTCTCTGCTTATTGTTACGTCCTACCATCCAAGAGGACACAATTCCTAGCCAAGTACGTTTGGAAGATGTCTTGGCTGTTGTTCCTCTTCGCGGTTTGCCTATCATCAACCCTGAAGTTTGTGCTAAATGGAATGGTATCGTATGTCCTCGTATTGACTTGGTCGATAATCTCGATATGAAACCCCATATCTATGCTGTCAACACGCAATACTCAGGTGAAAACAATGTCAAGCAAGTCCTCAAGACTGTGCTTTCAGATGCTACACAATTTAGTTTGGTCGATGGCTATGACGCAGTCAGTTTATGGGGTCGCTTTGCAACCGATTTAAATGTGAATGCTAAATTACGCGAGCAAATCGGACAAGAACTTGGATCTTCCATTCTTTTTCAAAGTAAGTTCAAAGGCAAGGTTTCAGATCATGACTGACATGCCTTATTTCTCCCTAGAATACACTTATGACCATCCCAAAAATTTGCCCAATTTGAGTTCTTCTACTATCGCTTGGGAGCAGTCTGTTGTTGAAGGCCATGCTACACACCCTGTAAGTAGTTTGATAACCATCAAGTGTTTCTGAAAATTTCCTTTTTTAACATGAACTAACCATCACGTCATTTCTATAGATGCATAAAGCTCGTAAGAGTTTCCCTCCTATGAAGACACTTTCTCCTGGATCCTATGATCTCGATCATCCCAAGGTCCGCCTTGTAGGTGTCCCCAGAGCCAATGCTGTTCTTCGTGGTGACTACGAAAGCTTGTCTGATAAGCTCGTCAATGCTCTTTTTGAAGCTGGTTGCGGTGAAAACAACGTAAAGGCCGAGCGCAGTAAATACGATCCTGATTATGTCTATATCGCCATCCACGAACTCCAATTGCCCAATATTGAACAAAAATTCAGCGATGCTTTGATTTTCCCTGAAGGTTACAGTATCACTGTCGAGGCTTTGGCTTCATTGCGCTCCGTTGCTCGTCCTGATATTTTGCCTGGTCTTAGTGTCAAGCTCTGTCTGGGTGTCAAGATTTCTTCTGCTTTGCGTACCGTGACACCTTTCACTACCTATTTTGGTCCTGGTTTCTCCAAGATTGTGCCCAAATTGACGTATGATGCTTCTGTCCTTGCTATTGAACGTGAATTGGGTACTATTACTTACCGTCATGAAGATACAGATGTTGCCAAGCACTGCAGTAGTGTGATTCGTGAAGCCTTTGAGTATGATCCTGAGTACAGAGATGATTTGTTTATTCCTTGTGGTGTCTTGGTTGAAAAGATCCAAAGACCCGACACAGATGAAACACTTGTCACTCACGTTTGGGGACTTGACACTGAAGAAAAGCGTGTTGCATTCTTGACTAGGTAAGAAAAACACTGTCTATATATACATATATACTAAATACGAGGATAGATATGTCAGCTTTGCTTTAAAAGCTTTCTTGCCTCCTTGTCTTGAAAACGGTGTTGCCTTTGAAGCTCACGGTCAAAACACATTGGCCCGCTTTGATCGTAAGACAGGTTTATTGAAGGGCTTTGTTATTCGTGATTTTGGTGGTGTCAAGGTTCATAATGAGACCCTCAAGAAGTCAGCTGGTGTTGAACTCGATATCTTGCCTGATAGTTGTGTTGAAGCACAAACATTGGATGAAGTCTCCAAGTTGTTGTATCATACATTATTCCACTGTCAGTTCCAACGTTTGATTCGTGTCTTGGGTTTGCATTACAATGGTGTTGGTTGGGAAATTGTTCGTCAACATATGGCTGACATGATTCCTAAGGATCATGTCATGTGGGCTATGTTTATGGAACCTGCCAAGGTGCCTGGTAAATGTTTAGTTCGTATGAAAATTGATGAACTTTACCGTGATGTAAGTCTATTGCCTTTTCTCTCTCTTATATTCTTTCTCACATTCTCTATATAGTACATCTATCGTCCTGTGCCTAACATGATTCAATTTAAACCTCAACAAGTTCCTCAAGCTTAATATCTTTTTTTTTTTTCTTTTGTATAATTATGTAAATTTCTAATTGTTACCCTCCTTCTCCTCCTCATAAAACAATATGCATTATATATATATATATATATATATATAGTATAGGCTTTGAAAGCTATAAAATAAAATAAAAAATTCTTAAAGATAACAATTTATTGATTTTATACAAGTTTCTTAGCTGTAAAAAAGTTCTTGAAATAATGCATTTGCCAGAAACAGACAACACCAAGAACAACAGTCTGAGAAATAGTCCACCAAATAACGCGAGAATTCGTCAATTCAGATTGATCACGGAAATCTCTTTCACGTTCCTATCAACACCGTTAAACAACACACCAATGTGCTCTTATTGGACTTACACGTTGAGCATTTTGTTCAATTTGAATATCTTCAACACGCTCATTTAATTCATGAACTCGCTTTACCAAATCTTGACATGATCAGCTTTATTTTATCATATAATAAACTTACCAGAAACACCTTCAGCATGATGGTCATGGTGATCAGTTGGGTCATCAAAGTCCATGTCCAATGTGATTTTCTATACCAACATGAATCATTTTGTTTCTATATCCACCACTTACAGTTTTGTGGCTATCAAACCAAGAGTTGGAGCTAACAGAAATACAGATGGCATGATCGCCAGATTCAAGAGAAGTAAAAGTAAAGCGGCCAGAAGGCTTGCCCTTGGTATCTACAATTTTATGACGAGCAGGAAGTTCCTAATCCCTAACGTAAGCTCTCTTTTATATATATATATATATATATAGTGGTGCTTGTTACCTCGACAGAAATCTCAACTTTTGATTCAGGGTTTTCGGCCCATTGGTTTGTATTGGTATTGTATTGTTCTGCCTTATAGACACCTATATGTATCAACGTGTTACCGAGGTTGGTTCAAGTTATTGTCTTACCAATGACCATGGTCTCTTTAGGTAAATCTTCAATAAAACATTTTCTCTCCGTATTTTCCAAGTAGAAATATAAAGCTTGTGTGCCAGCCAAATAGGCTACCAATAAAACAAGTGTCGAGAAACGAATCAAAGACATGATGCGCGCGTTTTGTCAATGAAAGAAAGAAACCAAAAAACACAGAAAAAAAAATAAAAAAGTAAATGAGCGGAGTATGAGTCGAATCAGGTTCAGCCAATCAATAAAAAAGAACAGCATTTACGTTCAAAAAACTGATTTGCTATCATGAATTTTCAGTGTCAGACAAATTGGGCACAAGGACAGCTTTAAGCGTATTGAAATGTTAGGAATCCTAATAACATTATAAAGCACTTGGTTATGACATAGAACATCTTAACACAAAGTATAGATTTCTATTATGTGAATGCACAAATAAGGCTACAAGTAGTTATGATGTATTCATTTGCAAAGGGAAATTGAATGATATGTTAACTGTCATTTATTTTCGATGGGAGCAATGATAGAACAAGAGCACTAAAAACATCCAGGCCTATTGGCTGTCTCATTGTAGATCTATTGGCTGAGGTCATCATTATATTTTCCCTTTTTCTTTGTGTTTTTAGGTGTAATTTCTAATGAAAACTACTCTTTATGACTTGTTAAAAAAAGTTTTTATGACACAATACATGTTATTTTATGCATGTATACTTGTGTCACTATAAATACTTCATTGCGTTTATAGTCTGGACTTGCTTAGGTTTAGGAAACTCTTATCTTATTCTATAGCAGTAAACCATAATTGAAGTAGTGAAAGCTATGTTGCAGCTAAGCCTCGACACAAAGTTTGGTTACTATTATCTTTTGTTATCTCACAGTAGTGGTAAGTAAGACTGAGACAAAGCTAAAAGGCGCATAATGATGGCAACTTTAGCACTAAAATAAAGGTACATCTCAGACCTATGTCTATTGTTTCCAGAAACTTCAACATCCTAAGCAGTTGATCCGAAAGCAGGGAACGACAAGGCACAGAAACATGAAAGATGTCTTTAGTTTTATTATATAGTCCTGAATGTACCTCAATCAAGAATGGTCGTAGTATAAGTGGAAGAGATAAAATATCTAGCTTTAGCCATTGCTATCTCAGGCATAACTACCTTGCTCTTTCATGAAACGCTTCCTGCTTTCTCCTTAAGCGTCAGTCACTCCAATACTGAGCTAAATTTGAAAACGGTAGCCTTCTTTACAAGAAATGGTGTGTCGTTCAAGCATTTTATTAACATTTTTAACGTTTTTAAAGTTTTCGTTGAGCACAATTACATTACTGTTTAGACATCTATGGATTGACTACTTTGGCTAAGATCTATCTTTGTATGCTCATCATAGAATAAAGAAAATGAAAAAAAAAAAGATCAATAATCATGAGGGTTGTATTTTATTCAGCCTTTGATTTACAACAAAATAGAAGCCTTTTAGACTTATCATACTCAAGTGAATACAATCTTAAGACATAAACATAAAAGAAAGCCTTTCTATTGATCAAGTCAATCAAAAAGCATTACTTTTTTTTTTTTCTTTTTAAAAAAAAAATCGCGTCCCTTTTTTTAACGCGTTTCTTTTGATCATGAGCGACATTGAATTAGAATCAGAATATTACTATGAAAAGACTGATAAAGAAAAAGATCCCGATTATGAAGAAGAAGAAGAAGACGACGAGGACGAGGAAGACGATGACAACAGTGAAGAAGATGAAGAAGACATGATCCGTAAAGAAAGACGACGAAGAAGAAGAGTTACCATCTCACTTGAGAATGCAACCACAAGCAATGTCGATCTTTTACTGAAGCAAGTGTTTGCTGGTTTTTTTCCAAGTAAGCACCTCAAGTCTATTCACCCATGAACTCATCTTGTCGATAGCCGTCAGCAAGGTCACATTAACAAAGAAATATAAACGTATTGAAGAACTCAAACCGTTGATTCAGAAATTCGGATTGGATCAGGATGAATTCAACATTGTGTTTGAAATGATCATGTCTTTTTCTTTGGGACCTTCAATGAGCAGAGGACTCGTTCAATTGTTATTACCCAGAGATGATATTGCCGATGACTATATTATTCGTATTATTGGATCTGTTTCTCAAAGAGATCAAAACCTGGGTGTGCTTGTATGTTCCTGCTTATGATGAATTCAAGTACTGATAGTATGTTTAGGCAGAATTGTTAAAGTGGACGATTGCTGTGTTTGATGTCATTAGTGATAAGCAAAGATTAAATCACTTGTATCATGTCTTTTTTCGCCATTTACATTATGAAGAATTAAGGCAAGTGAGTTTAGTCAAGAAAAGATAGTTGACATGATTCTATTAGACGTAGTCTTTGTCATTTACTTTACTTTCTGACAAAGAAAGAGCATGTTACAAAATACAGAGTGACAAGATTGTATGTTTCTTTTTCTTATTCACATACTGATGTCTATTAGGAAAGAAATGATTGATGCAGAAAGAGATAATGCAGAATTGATTGCTCTTTTACTTGTTTATCAGACATATGATGCTTCTATTAATGTACCACACAATGTCAGATTGGCTGATATGCTTGTGTTTAGAGTAAGCATCTTTTGTTGTTATTAGACTATAACCCTTCTATAGAATCCTCTGCCTCAAGTGAAACACAATTTGACCAATTTACGAATACTCTGGAAGAATGATATTCAGTTCAAGACAGACATCATTAAAGGGGAAATCAGACTGCCTACTATGAAACGAGTCAGGATGTCCAAGAAGAAGAGACTGGAACAAGCGACTGAAGAAGCGAGAAAAGAATTAAGTGTGGTGGATGTGTCTGATGTGATCAACAGTGTAGATCATGTAGGTTTATCAGACCAATTGAGTATGGTATTACAAAAGAGATCATTACAATATGCATTACTTTATGACCCAGAAGGTAAAAAAAAAAAAAAGAAAAATAATAATAATAGATAGCGTGTCTATTGACAGTTAACTACTAGGTACTGCTGTAACACGACTTAGTTACTATATTGTACAGATCTTGTTTGATCTATTGATCTATGGCAATAAGAAAGACACTGGTAAACAAGAATTAGGAGACATGTTGCGTACCCTTGTCAGGTTTACTCGGTTTACAAAGACACAGTTACCAGCAGTACAAATCTTTTTATACCGTTATCTAAAGACATGGAATGGATATGAATATGAAGATGAAATCTTGACTTTGATCACTTATCTTAAGCCTGCTTCTTTTAAAGGTAGTCCTATATAAAATACGCATCAGACTAATTTAAGCTCAAGAGCTGAGTGAATATATCCTGAAGCCTTTATGCCGATTGTATGTTGCATCTGATGTGAAATGGAAATCAAAATTGATTCTGTGTTACACTGAATGGCTTAAGAATTGGGCGGCATTAGATTGGAAACAACATGTACGCTTACGCAAAGAAGCATCAGACACAAGTATAGATCATTTGTAAGTAAACCATCCACTGCATTGTCTAATGTCAAATAGAACAAGCTTGTTTGGTAAACTCTCGTTTGATGTCAACTATTTCCGTACCATTCAGAAGTTTGTGGAGCATGTAGATAAGCTATGTGTCTCTGGACTTTTGGCTGAAGATGACCATGTTTTAATGCAGCATGCTGGTCTTACCTTCTTTGAACTTGTTGCCCAAATCTCAAGACAAGATGACATACCCGATATTATTATTCCTGCAGCTACTTTTGTACACCGTAATTTCTTTTCAACCACAGCCATGGCAGTCAGTAGAATATGTGGCATTATTCATCAATACAAGGTTGCTTTTGAAGAAAATGACCGCAAAACGATTGATTGGAGTTCAAAGCATACACAAGAGTATTTGGAACATTTTAATACTTATATGATGGACATCTGTAATTCACTATGGCGAAATCTAGGACTCAGTCAATCAAAAGAAAACGAACAAGCCTTTTCGTTTACAGAGTAAAAAGAGATGACTTGTATCAAACTATCCTTTCACTTACTCTTCTTCTATAGAAAGAACATTGAACATTTCATTCAACTCTGTCAACATAAACATGTAGATTCAAAACTCGTCTTGTCCATCACTCATTCAGGTGCACTTGTTTCTTTTTCAAAACGATTTATGGAGGCAAATATCAACTCAAGTTAGACATGATATCTAATCCCCTTTTTGTTTATAGATAATAGAGAAAGATGAAAAAGTAAATGTGTATCACGATAAACCTATCACAGCCAACTATTTAAAACAATTGGATCAAGTAAGTGTCCTGTGCCTGAAAATAATAATAATAATAATAATAATAATAGAAAGGAGGTGTTTCAATCAGTTATATGGAATACCGTGTTGAATATCTAGATTATCTATCAGAATTAGGCTTAAAGGGTATACCAGAATTACTCTATGCTTGTATGAACTCTTTAATACAACTCAAGAAGAATCCATCCTCATAAATCATCTGTTGTAACACGAAATTTTTATTTTGTTGTCAAAAAAGGAACGATTGGTTAAAAATAAATTAAAAAAAAAAGGAATCGTTGCTCGTGTTTGTGATTTTAAATATCTTTCTTTTTCCTTTTGGTTGTTTTCTTCTTTATTACTGTTATTATAGACTTTCCTTTATAAACATATAAAAAGTAAGGTTAAGATCATATGGATGATTTATTTACCATGTTTAGTTTAAAATGAGAGAAATTATTCATGTTCAAGTTGGTAAGTGAATAGAAAAAAAAAAAATACCTTGATTGACTCTTTTTTTGGTTTAGGTCAATGTGGTAACCAAGTCGGTCAAAAGTTTTGGGAAACCATCAGTCAAGAACATGGTCTTGATTCTAACGGCACTTATGCTGGTGACAATGATTTGCAACTTGAGCGTATCAATGTCTTTTACAACGAAGGATCTCAGGGCCAATATGTTCCTCGTTCCGTCTTGGTCGATTTGGAACCTGGTACCATGGATGTAGTTCGCTCTAGTCCTTATGGTAAGCTTTTCCGTCCTGACAATTTCATCTTTGGTCAAAATGGTGCTGGTAATTCTTGGGCTAGAGGTTACTACACTGAAGGTGCTGAGTTGGTTGAACAAGTCTTGGATGTGGTTCGTAAGGAAGCTGAACACACAGACTGTCTTCAAGGTTTCCAACTCTGTCACTCTCTTGGTGGTGGTACCGGTTCCGGTCTTGGTTCTCTTTTGCTCTCCAAGATCCGTGAAGAATACCCTGACCGTATGTTGTGTACTTACTCTGTTGTGCCCTCTCCCAAGGTCTCTGATACTGTGGTTGAACCCTACAACGCTGTCTTGTCTGTTCACCAATTGGTTGAAAACTGTGATGCTACTTTCTGTATCGATAACGAAGCCCTTTACGATATCTGTTTCCGTACACTCAAGTTGAGCAACCCTGGCTACGGTCAATTGAACGAACTGGTCTCAACTGTCATGTCCGGTGTCTCTACCAGTTTGCGTTTCCCTGGTCAACTCAACAGTGATTTGCGTAAGTTGTTTGTCAACATGGTTCCCTTCCCTCGTCTTCACTTCTTCATGGTTGGTTTTGCTCCCTTGACTGCCTTTAGCTCTCAACAATACCGTAACTTGAGTGTGCCTGAATTGACGGCTCAAATGTTCGATGCCCGTAACATGATGGCTGCTTCTGATCCTCGTCACGGTCGTTACTTGACTGTGGCCACCATCTTCCGTGGTCGCTTGTCTACCAAAGAAGTCGAGAACCAAATGTTGGCTGTTCAACAAAAGAACTCTTCTTACTTTGTTGAATGGATTCCTAACGGTGTCAAGACTTCTCTCTGTGACATTCCCCCTGTGGGTCTCAAGATGTCTGGTACTTTTATCGGTAACTCTACTGCCATTCAAGAATTATTCAAGCGTGTGAACGATCAATTCACTGCCATGTTCAGAAGAAAGGCTTTCTTGCATTGGTACACTGGTGAAGGTATGGATGAAATGGAATTCACTGAAGCCGAATCCAACATGAACGATTTGGTCTCTGAATACCAACAATACCAAGAAGCTACTGCTGATGATGAACTTATGGAAGATGAAGATTATCTTGAAGAAGATGAAATCCTTGAAGAAGAGGACGAATAGACAATTATTATTATTACCAACTCACCCTTTCTAATATTCATAATCCTAATATCAAGTGTAATAAACAAGCATAAAAAATACAGTCTTTTTTATTGTTGAGCACATTGGACACCTGGTCCATGGTGGTGATGATCTTCATCTTCATCTTCATCATAAGCAGCGGCACCAGCTCGTCCTTGATAACCTTCAGCATCCACCAAGACAACTTCATCCAAATGCTTGTCGCCCAAGGGAGGCAATGGCTGACGAGGAGGCAAGATGCTCTCCAATTTCTTTAATGTGTCTTGATCTGTCCAGTTTGATTGAGGGAATTCAACCGTGAATTTGATAAACAGATGGCCACGACTGTCAATACGTTGGATAGGCATACCTTCATAAGGCACAACCTTGATCATATCAGGCTGAATAGCTTCACCTGGAATGACATTGACCAAGAGAACACGGTCGTCAAGATGGGGTATAGCAAACTGACCACCAGCCAAAGCAGTCAAGAGATCAATCTTGGCTTCATAAATAAGATCATCGCCTTGACGTGTGAATTTAGCATGAGGCTTTTCATCCAAGACAATGATGATATCGCCCGGAATAATACCGGGTGCTTGATCACCTTCACCAGCAAAAGTGATCTTTTGACCACCACGCATACCACGTTCAATACGGACCTCAAGGATTTTACGGTCACTCAAGATCTTTTTGCCTAAACATTCCTTACAACGGTCTTTTTCATTGATGATTTCACCTGTACCACGACAATCTTGACAGGTTTGTTGGAACTGCTGAACCAAGGGACCCATTTGACGCATCATCATACGAACACCTTGACCATGACAACCACGACAGGTTTGAACAGCACCTTCCTTACCTCCTTTGCCTTCACATTTGGCACAAAGGACGTTCTTTTGAAGGGCAAGTTTACTGGTCTTTCCAAGGTAAAGATCTTCAAGGCTGACTTTGAGTTGATGCATCATGTCTTTTCCACGACGAGGACCTTGGGGTCCACGACGACCTCCTCCACCAAAAAATCCACCACCACCACCAAAGAGTTGAGAAAACAAATCTTCAGCATTCATACCACCAGGGCCACCTTGACCACTGAGGCCTTCTTCACCATATTGATCATAGACTTCTCTCTTTTCGGCATCAGAAAGGATTTCATAGGCATGAGAGATCTCTTTGAACTTGTCTCCAGCATCAGGATTCTAATGAAAGATGATGAGCTATTTGGAAAAAAAAAGGGGGGGAGCTCAAACCTTATCAGGATGGTATTTTAAAGCAAGTTTTCTATAAGCCTTCTTGAGTTCTGATTCTGAAGCATCAGGACCAACACCCAAGATGTCATAAAACTTTGTTTCAGCAACCATGATATAAGAGAAAGAGAGAAGCTAAAAAGAAAAAAAAAAAAGAAAGGGGGCTTATGATAAAAAATTCTAAAAGATATGATTGGCTAACGTTTATTTCTTTTCCTGAAAAGGCTCGGTTAACATCTTGGAGAACTCCTTGATTTCTTCTACACCACGCACTTCTTTTGTTAATAAGGGCATGCGCACAATATGGAAATCTTCATAGAGATCATAGATTTGATCCAAGTATTTTTGTTGCATCTTGTGTCGAACAGTACAGTGCTCACAGTTAGATCCTAACCCATTTAATAAACAAAAGATTGTATTTGTATATTCTTACCTTCTTTAGGGAATAGTAATTGATTGACAACAATATTATGTGTATCAATATGATAAGAAGTCAATTCTTGAATCATACGTTCAGTTTCATACAAGGACAAGAATTCAGAGATACAGACACAGACAAAAGTAGTGGTATTCTAACAGAGTTAGTCATATGATTGCACAAGTGTGCTTGCACTTACAGGATCCTTGAATTGGTTATTGACTTCAGTAATTACAGAACGCATTTCCTCCAATTTGGAGAACATGTCTTCTTGATTGGCATTCATACCCATCATGCCTGATACTTGTTGCACCATAGGGCCAAAGCGACTACTCAATCCACTGATCTTGGCCAATGCCTTTTCAAGCACGGTAGGGAAAGAGAGGAAACGAAGTGTATGGCCTGTAGGGGCAGTATCAAACACAACAACAGAATAAGACATGGTCTTGACTTGCTTCATGACTTCAGCAAAACCCATAGCTTCATCCACACCAGGAATAGCATAAGCTAAATCCTGCATCATACCACCCATAGGATTGTTTTGATCAGCTAGAAACAAGTTAATCTTCTATGATGATAAACGTTGACTTACATTGTTCAATCATTTCTTGAATACTTGAAGTAGGATCAATTTCCTAGACAAAGAGAGATGAATGATGCACACTCAATAGAAGGTACTTACCATAGCGTAAAGGTTATTGAAGCCATTGACAAGTGTGGCTTCCTTGGAAAACTTTTGTCCAAACGCGTCAGAAAGGTTATGAGCGGGATCAGTTGAGATGAGCAAGACAGATTCACGGACCTTGGAAAGTTGAACAGCCAAAGAACAAGAAGTAGTTGTTTTACCTAGTCATGTCAATAAGAATATTTTATCTTGTATTTACTTACCAACACCACCTTTGCCACCAACAAAAATCCAATGAAGGGAATTTTGGTCTAAAATGTTTTGAAGAGTAGGTTCAAGAGGTTGGAAATCATCATCTGACATGTCTGACATGGTTGCTTGCGTTATTGTATTTATTGTAAGAGAAAAAAAAAAGAATGAAACACGTACATGTTGAATTCAGGTTGCTTCAATAGTCGATACTGATTGGATCAATTTGAGCGGTGATTGTATTTATTTATTTTTCCCTCTAAAAGACGTTTTGATACTGTACATTTTGTTTTTAGCTCAATAGTGAAATAGAACCACATCAAAGAGCTATTAAGTGTATATTTGCTTGTCATGTTTAGGCTGTTTACCATTGACAACCGTGAATATTCATTGAGGCTTGGTAAATCTTCATAGTGTATTACTTTTTTTTTTTGAGTTTTCTTGTTTCTGTTCGAGAGTCTGATCGACCCTTGTTTAGATAAAAAGGAGTAACTGAAGAGGCTTGATTACCTTGATAGAATTCACAATATGCCTGTGCTATGCATGTCCCTCTTTTTTTGCTGCTGTCTTTGTGTAATAAAAGCTATGCGTGGAATCCACTTGTATCAACGGCTTTATCCACTCAGGGCTGCTGTCTTTCATTTTCAGTATGAGTTGAACAGAGCATCATTCACTTGCTAAACTATGGTGATATTGTCTTTAATACACCACAGTATTACGTCTGGCTACTAGCCTTTTTATTTCTTACTTTTTTTTTTTTGTATTCATTCGATCAAAACGTGATTGTGGTTGTAAGTGTCGGCATAGACAAAAAGGTACGCTCACTACACAAGCTACAAAGAAAGGCAGGGTTGAAAATATCGAATCCTTCTTTTCCATGACATTCATTGTTGATCATGTCTAAAAGTTGCTCTTTTCAGGTTCAGAAATGTCGTATATTATAACAGAACTTACTCTTGCGCATTTTTCGCATCGAATGATGTATAAATAGCTACCCTTTCACTATCTAATATATACTGAAAAGGACCTCTTTTGTACCGATTACAGTGTATAATGTACTTTGAATGCAAATTTGAATCCAATGCTCAAATCAAGTCGATGTTTTCATCTTAGTAAACTCGTTTTCTTTTTGCAAGAAGTATCTAGACATGGTCTTATCTGATTTCGGTTGGATTAGTTTTTTTTTTTTTTTTCAAAATGTATGTTTCAGTTACACATCACAGAGGGGCGTAACATGGATAAGCTGAAAAAAAAAAAGAGTGCACAAAATTAGTCTTTGAGAGACTCAAAAAACGTTTACAAGCAAATAATGTTGGTGTAGTGAGATCAAAATCTGACTAATAATGTCGGAAATGACCCACTCAGGGTTGAAGGGTTGATTGTCCAAGGCGAAACGCCAGTAAGCGGACCATATTCTCTATTGGCAGACAGATAGAACCGTAAAGAGACGACTGTCAGGCAGTAGGCTTAGAAGCTGCTGCCCGAGCCATGGTTAGATCAGGCCTACATTGGGTCATTCTAAAAAAAAATCTCGATCGAGTTTTTATTTTTCATCTTCAAAAAATATAAATTTCACAAAACAACCAAACCAATGGTACCATTCGATTTCAGGGATTGAAAGAACATGCTTTAAACAAAGAAAGAGGCTGTTCTGATAACGCCGTTGCCGAATAATGGTCCATCAAAGATTGGTATGTTTAAGCTGTGGTTTGGGCATTTTTGAGCATTTTTGCTCTAAATGTCATATAGAAATTGTCAAAAATTGGCCTTTATAAAGTATTTCATGTTACTTTGAGTGACAAATAATGTAGAAAAGCAGAAATATAGGCATTTCTAACGTAAATGCGAATATAAATGGACATAGAACATACCAGATAACGGTTTACGGAGATTGAAAATGAAAGACAACTCCAGTTCTTCTTGCGCCGCATCAGAAATCGGGCTTTTGTTGAGAACTGTATAAAGATGCAATTATTGGGCGTTGGTGTAGTGACAAGAGTTGTAGATATTTGCTTCCTGAGCCTATTGATATAAATAACACAGTAACCTTGCTGCTAAAATATTAAGCAAATAGGCGAAAATGTCTATAAGGGTTTTCGCTTCTAGCATACCATTTTTATAGTACAACTGTTACGCAAACACATCCACCAAAAACTAGAGCCTCTGACGCACATTTTGAGTATTTAAGCTTGTCGATAGCTTGGTTTTTCGTCTTGTAGCAACAAAAGAAGATCACAAACTGCAAAGTAGAGCTTTTTTCATGAGTAGTACCCTTTGATCAAAAGGTCATTTTGGTCATTTTGGTCATTTTGGTCATTTTGGTCAAATTTTACAAATCGCTTCTTTTGGTCCAAAGCAACCCTAAAGGTATCATGCTTGTTAATAAACATAGTTTGTAGGTGTTTAGAGCACTTATGCGTGCATGAACAGGCTTCATACTACCTTTATATACCAAGGAAAAGAAGACTTGAAGGACTACTTATCTTTTTTCGCTGTTGGAGCTTTTTTTTTTTTTTTTTTTTTTTTTTTTTTTGCCATGCCTCTGTTACTTGAGCAAGTAATGCATACTAAATTACTTATCTTCATAAAAATGATTTGCTAAGAATATACTTGCTCTCTTAATTCAGAAAATAAGAATGTTTGCTTATGAAAATGTCAAAATGCTGGGGGGATTCACTTCAACTTCATAATACATGAGGTATGAAAGAATGCCTTTAGAACATTCACTAAGTATGTGATGAAGTAACTTATATTCATAATTCCAGTTTAATTGCTGATTTTTTTATAGTAAAGATAAATCCAGAAGGAAAGGTACAACAGCTTGATGAAATCATTCACATGCCGTCTCGAGAAACCCCCAAATAACCAATGTACGTTTAACTACCTAATTCAAGACATGTCTTTTTTTTGTTGCTGTTTGCCTTTTGGATTGTTTTTTGGCAGATGTTTGTACTTTGACTACTATGTTCACATCCTTATTTGCTTTGGTCTCTTCATCAAAAAGTTGGTTCATAGATGCCACATTTGATAAAAGAAAAATAGATATATTTTCAGTGTTATACGACATTGAATTGTCTCGTTTATATATGGTACATGATAAATTAGATTAAAGTTGAAATGGTAATAATAAGAGTAAAAGTAATAATAGGAAATAAAATGATACAAAAGAGAATTTAAACATTGTTCATGCTTGAGTTGTTGAATGGTTTTTCAGAGCCCATAGATCCTTGTGCTTGAGGTTCCATGTTATAGCCTTCTACGTCTTGTTTCATGACTGTTTCTTCACCTGTATTCTGGTTAACACCAACAATCTTATCAACATGATAATAGGCCATTTCTCCAATTTCTGCAGCATCCAAACCTTGAAGTTCAGATTCACGATCCACACGGAGAGAAAGACCAGGAATCTTGTTCATAATAAACAAAATAAGGAATGTTACCGCAAAAGAGTAAGAGGCACCAGCAGTAGCCTCAGCCAGTTGATAACCTAATTGGACCCAATGATGGTTCATCCAACCACCGGCGATCTCAGTACCATCCAAAGCAGCTACATAAGATTCAGCAAAGATACCAGTCAATAAAGAACCAATGTAACCCCCTACACCATGGACAGCAAAGACATCAGCAACATCATCATAACGAAGCAAATGCTTCAAGTGACAAGCCAAGTTACAAGCACAGGCACCAAGGAAACCAATGGCGACAGCAGGTGCAGGACCTACAAAGCCTGAAGCAGGTGTGATGGCTACAAGACCTGCTACAGCTCCAGAACAGAAACCAAGAGCAGAGAATTTGCGTTCTACACGGTAATCAATCAACATCCAAGTGATGGCACCGACAGAAGCGGCCAAGTTGGTAACAACACAAGCCATGGCAGCACGAATGTTACCAGCTAAACCAGAACCACCATTGAATCCAAACCAGCCAAACCAAAGCAATGCAGTGCCAAGAACAACATTAGACATGTTATGAGGCTTGAATTCTTCCTTTTTGTGATCATGACCTTCACGACGACCCAAAATTAAAGCGTAAGCTAAACTAGCAAAACCACTAGTGATATGAACTGGTGTCTAAATAAAACTATAAGTCTATTGGATCAAATTGAATTTATCTAAACTTACTCCTCCTGCATAGTCAATAGCACCTAACTTGGCACTCCAACCGCTCACATTCCAAGTCCAACTAGCGACAACATTATAAACAAGTGTAGACCAAATAAAGATGAAAATAATCATAGGCAAAAGACGAGCACGCTCAGCTAAGATAAAAAGATAAGAAAGGTGACACAAATAGCCTTTTTTTCATACCTGCAGAACCGATAGCAAGAGCTGGTGTCAAGGCAGCAAACATACATTGAAAGACGCAAAAGACAAGATCAGGAACAGCAGATGAAGAAATAGAAGGATCACCAAATACACCTCGCAAGAATGCATTATCGAGATTACCAATAAAACCATTGGTTGCAGTTTTACTAAATGTTAAACTATAGCCCCATATAAACCATTGGACGCTCACAACAACCAGCGATAATACACAGCACATGATTAATGACAGAGCATTCTTTCTGCGTGCCATGCCAGAATAGAAATATCCAACACCCGGGATCATAAGCCAGACAAGTGCAGTAGAGGTTAAGACCCAAGCAATATCGCCTGCGTTATATGTTGTTGCTGAGTCCATATTTATTTATGAAATAGAAAAGAAAAAGAAAAAGGAAAAGAGAACCCAAATCTCTATATATATATGATAAATCAAAGTGATAGAAGATAGTTGTTTCGAATAGATAAGTAGTCAGGGAGTTTCAATTCAAATACAATACTCGGAAAAGTCTGTAATACGTTAATCATGACCAACCAGAGATCGGCAGTTAATCTTAAGTTTTATTATCGTTATCATTCCTTTCTGTTCATATGACACTAAAATATGCTCCATAAACTGATACGATAGTCTTGACTTGCACTCATCAGCCAATTGTTTTCTGCGCCAAAATCAAGTCCATAAGTTGTATTTTTATGGTAAGACAAGATAGCCAAAGGCTTCATTGATTTTACAGAAAAGACTCGTATTCTAGAGTAGATAAGCATCTTGTAGAGTAGAATGTACTTACTTTCCATCATATCCACCCGAAGCAAAAATCTTATTGTCAGAACGAATCTTGAGTGCTACAACGCCAGACTTTTTTATCTTTATCTTTTTGATAACATCACCTGTTCCAAGCATATATTTACAAATTTGGTTGTCTGCTGATGAAGATATAAGAAACGCTCTGTTGCTGTCAATTGACAGATCAAGAACTAAAATAAAAGCTGGTCAATTGCTTGTCACTCTTTCTGTGTTCTCTCTTATTACTCGGTTCTTGATGCTCTTGTTTATACCAAATCAGGCTGCTTTTATCTTGCTTTATTTGCCATAATGCTACCTGTCCACTTTCGTATCCCGCCACTATAAATAAAGCATCTAATGTTCGAAACAATTGTAGTGCCATACAGGCGCCTTGCCGAGCTGAGCCGATATCTGTGTTACCTCCCACATTTTGCAGCACATATTTTTGATAAGTCAAATCATAGATATCAAACTTTCCCCATTTAGTCTTCTTTTTTCGCATAAAATGGGCGCTTACCATGGCAATGTCGTCTTTTGAAGGAAAACACAATAAGGTTGAATCTAAAATCAGGATAGCTTTAATTTTTTTTTTCATTTAAGATTATCTTACCATTGTCTTGAGAGTAACACGAAAACTTACAGAAACCTAAAGCATTATAGACAACAGAAGAAACAAGCTCAGGTTCGTTCAAACATGATTTCCAAATATGAATCATGTTATCTCTGCCCTGACTATTCTTTTTCTTTTTTATTTATGGACTGTCTCGTACATGTATTTTGATTACCTTATCAGTGTGTGGTTTTCAATAGTTGTGACCTTTAAGCAGCTTTCTTTATGTGCTTTCCATTTTGATATAGGTCGTCTTGTTTTCATTTTCCAAACTACAACCCAACCTTCAGCATCACTAGAGAGTGTGAGCTTTCTTTTGGTCATCGCGTATTTTCTTTACCATGACGCAAAGTGCTGATCTCTGTCAAAGATGTGGACATGATTGACCGTAGCCTTATGTTCCCGAAAGACATACTCGGGAGGAGGAGGTAAGTCTGGTGTGCTAGGACTATTCGACATAGGCTCGAGTAAAGAAAAAGAAAAAACGAGAAACCAAGAGGAGGGGTTAAGAGCAAAAAATTCATTCGAAGAATTTTATGGAAGATACTCATTAAAAATTAGATACAAAACAAGCATTTTTTGGTTTTATTTATGTATATCTTCTAAACAGTTTTGAGTCACTTTTCTTAAGCATTTCTAGCAGCACGACGAGCACGAACACCTTCACGAAGGTTGTCTAAGACCTTGACAGTATCTTCCCAATCAATACAAGCATCAGTGATTGATTGACCGTACTTTAAGCGATGAGGACCTTCGCTAGGAATATCTTGGCGACCTGATCCACAAAGTTAATCATGTTACATATCCTTTTCCTTTCTTTTACCTTCAACTAAATTTGACTCAATCATGACACCAACAATGTTATCACCTGTCACCTTGGGTTGAGCCAATTGTTCAGACTATTCAAAAATGAGACACAATCTCACCTATTGTTTTGAACTTACAATTGATTGTGCAACAAGAGGTTGACGCTTATGGTCCTTACTCGAGTTACCGTGGCTACAGTCAACCATGACAACTGGAGCTAACTTGACTTTTTGAAGTTCTTCGGCTGTCTTCTTGATAGATTCAGCGTCATAGTTTGTGCCACTTTTACCACCACGGAGAATGACGTGGCAAGCATCATTACCTTCTGTTTGAACAATAGCCGATAAACCTTGCTTTGTTACAGACAAGAAATGGTGACCATTGCTAGCAGCTCGGATGGCATCATAAGCAACACCATTAGAACCATCGGTACCTGTTCATCAAGGGCTTAGAATACAGTTTTAGTGATGTATAGCTTACCATTTTTGAAGCCAACAGGGCAAGATAAACCAGAGGCCAACTCACGATGGATTTGTGATTCAGTGGTTCTAGCACCAATAGCACCTATATGAGATGAGTTGTTGTAATCTTTGTATGGAATGAATGCCTTACCCCAAGAAACAAGGTCACCAGTATATTGAGGAGAGATCTAAATAAATATAAGAAAAACTGGGCTACATGTATAGGTACTTACAGTATCCAAGAATTCACAGCCAGTAGGAATACCCATTTCGTTCTAAATAAAATACTAATGAATCACTGCGTTTCTTTTTCTATATAACCTACAAGATCCAACAATAATTGACGAGCAATACGAAGACCTTTGTTGATTTCATAACTTGAACAATAATTAGATATCATATATCACTGTATCAATATACCTGTTGTTCATCAAAGGATCATTAATCAAACCTTTCCAACCAACAGTAGTTCTAGGCTTTTCAAAGTAAACACGCATGATGATTAAGAGATCTTCCTTGGCTTTTTCGCTGTATTCAATCAAGAGATTGGCTAAAGCAGCATAAGCAAAAAAAAAACTCCACTTCATTTTCTTACCATATTCTTTAGCAGCCTTGACATCATGAATGGAACAAGGGCCAACAACAACTAAAAGACGATCATCGGAACCTTTGATTACATTTTCAGCAGCTCTTCTGCCTTCAAGAATAGTTTGAGCGGCCTTCAAAGTAAGAGGGATATCTTCCATCAAGATTTGAGGAGGAATAAGGGGCTTGATGCCCTTGATACGTTTATCATCAAGCTCATTTAAGGCTGGATCCGTAAAAATAATTTAATATTTAAAAGGATCATGATCATTCAAGCTTACCTTCAGTAATGACAGTGCGGTTATGAGACATGGTTTTAAAGAGAAGGGGGTGATTTAAAGTTTTAACAAGGAAAATAAGAAGAAAAAAATAACTCTGACTCACAATTTGTTAACTGCTTTATTGGAGGTTCTCGTCCAATGACATCCGTTGTCTTTAGGTGTCATTTTTTTCTAGTTTAAATGTCAAGAAATTAGACTTTGACATTACCTGATACAAAAGATAAGAGCCTTTAATCAACCTATTATCTTGTGTAGACATACATATTTTTTATCTCTTGTAAAGATCAAATTTGATAGTGAAGATCGATTAAATGAGCGATGATACAAATAGTGACTGATATCTTTTTTTTCTCTTCTTTTTTTTTTTTTGGTACCATGCCTTATTCTTTTCATAGTCACTCGGGTCAGTTTTGTAAACATGGTTATGGTCTTTTAGAAGACGTTGTCAAGGAAGCTATCCGCAAAGGATTTCACACTTATGGTTTAAGCGAACATATGCCTCGATATGTCGATACAGAACTCTATCCTGAAGAAATCGATGTAAGAAATAGAGAAATAAAATGCAAAACTAACTTACATACCATTCATTTCAGGCACAATGTACACCTAAATCATTGGAGACAACCTATCATGATTTTCAAGTAGAAGCAAAACGTATTCGAGATGTATACAAGGACAAGATAAACCTCTTGATTGGAGCAGAGATCGAGTTTATCACGCCCAATTATGCAGACCATGTTGAGAAGCTAAGACAAGCACATCATATCGAGTATGTGATTGGTTCTCTTCACCATGTTAATTCGATACCTATTGATTTTTCGCTTGATTTTTTCAATCAAGCATTGACACAGATAGGCGGTCAATTAACACAGCTGTATATTCGCTACTTTGATGAACAATATGCCATGCTTCAGTCTGTCAAGCCAGAAATTGTGGGTCATTTTGATCTCATTCGACTCTTTGCTAATCAAACTGTAGCAGACGCAACACTATTAGACCCTGAAGTTTGGAAATGCTTGACACGCAATTTGGATTATGTTATTGCATATGGTGGATTGTTTGAAATCAATTCAAGATCCTGGAAGAAGGGTTTACGTGATGCTTACCCACAAAAAGACATTATACAAGCCATTCAACAAAAGGGTGGTAAATTCACACTTTCTGATGATTGCCATGGACCTAACGATGTTGGTCTGTATTATGAAAAGCTACCAGTTTATTTGAAAGAAACAGGCATTGATACACTATACTATTTGGCAAACCAAAATGGAAAGGTTGTTGTAAAGGAGCACAAGGATGTATTAGACGACGCATTTTGGAGCAAAATAAAAGACTGGTAAATAAATAAATTACAATGACATGAAGCAAGAAATGAACAATGTGAGTTGATGTTAAGGTGAAGGTGAGCTACTGATAATAAGACGTTTCTTTTTTGGAGAATAGTGAAGCTCTTCATAATCCAAATCATCATCTACGTCTTTATTGAGCTCTTGATCCATTAGTTTTCTGACCATCATTTCTCGTTGTAGTTTATCTGACCTCACTCTTTTTGTCGATAACAGTTCACCTTGTAAGCCCAAGTTTTCATGCCCAATCAATGCCTGGTGGACATGTTCAATCGATTTGAAGTATTTGACGGTCTTGTTGGATATGAGTTACTATTCCTTTCTCTCTTTCTCTTTTTTTTTTCACTCTTACCTTGACATGAAGTTCTAAAGTAGCGTCTTCATCGCAAACAATCAAACCTTTAGGATGCATTTGAATAGCAGACACTGTCCACATATGATTGACACCTTCTTCCATACATTTAGCTAATGCAATACTACACATCATGAGATCGATGAGTCATTTTCTTTTTGTTACCTTCTATGAGCACCAGTAATAATAATACAAACTTCTCTAGCATCCATTACTGTACTACAAGAGCCAGTTGAGTTCTCATTGATCAGCATAACATTTAATACTTACGCTACACCCACTGTCAAAGCTAATTTAGGTACTTTGGTGATATCTCCTTCAAAGAATCGAGCATTAGCTATAATGGTCTCATAAGCCAACGTCTTGACTCTTGTACGAGAAGTCAAGGAAGAGCCAGGCTCATTGAAAGCAATATGACCATCAGGCCCAATGCCACCCATAAACAATTCAATGCCACCATATTTTGCAATTTCAGCTTCATAACGTCTGCATTCAGCTTCCAAATCAGGTGCATTTCCATCAAGGAAATTGATATTCTCAGTAGGAATGTCTATATGCTGAAATAGGTTTGTCCACATGAAAGAATAATAAGATTGCTTATGAGCACTAGAAGAAGCTGTGTGTGAGAATTTTTTTGTCATGATTTATAAATCACTTTACCGTGGTATGCCAACATATTCGTCCATATTGAAGGTAACAACATGCTTAAATGATAGTTTTCCTTCCTTGACAAACTCTGCTAGACGTCTGTAAGCATTCATAGGTGATGATCCAGTAGGCAAACCAAGTACAAAAGGTCTGTCTTTTGTTGGTTCAAATTGATTGATGCGTTCTTTAATGTAATGTGCTATCCACAAAAAAAAATCAATACCTTTCTTTCTTTGGGTTTATTTAATATTACTTACCAACCCATTCTGACACTTCGTCATAATCATTTCTAATGATAAGTCTCATGCTTTGAAGAAAAAACAATAGACCAGAGGAAAAATAAGTAGTAGTGAAACGGGTGATTTTTATATTATTATTATTTTTTTTTATCCCGCGGAATCACCAATGTACCTTTCTTTTTACCTACATGGTCACACAAGAAAGTAAGTGAGAGAACATAAACTTGTATTTCAAAGGGAGGACATTTTTATTCGTTCAAATGATAGACTATAATGCTCTTTAATGCACTAACAAAAAAAAGACTTACTCTTTTTTAGCGTTAAAATTCATGCTCCATTTGAGTGTCAAAATCTAAAGGAAAAAAAATTAGAGACATGGGCCCTCCGCCACAAAAAAGACCGTCTTTTTAGTGTACTTTTTTTTTTTTTCTCTTTTCTTTCTTTTTCATTATTCTTATTACTAGTAAACATGGTTAAGCTTGAAGAAGTTTCTGCCGAGCAATATGAACAAGTTGAAGTCTACAGTGAAGACGACTACTCTGACTTTTCTGACGACGAGTTTGACGACGAAGACGAGTCTGTTTTGGATAGAATTGCTGCTTTAAAGGATATCATTCCTCTCAAACACAGAAACAGAATTTCTAATAGCGTTTCTACCTTGAGTTCTTGGGGAAAGGCAGGTGCTACTTTTGTTGGCAAGAGTGCTTGGGTTATCACCACTTCCATGTTTTTATTAGTCTTGCCTTTGGCTTTGGAAATTGAAAAAGAACAAGCTTTGGTTGCTTATGAAAAGGAAGCCATGCAACAACAGGGTACACAACAAGTAAGTAAATGACAAGAAATGGGGCCAATAGATGTTAATGATTCATTAGATGTTGAGCACTGGCAATCCTTATGGTCAACCTCAACAACCTCAACAACAACAGCAACAACAGATTAGAGCCCCCGGTTTCTAAAATACTCGACACTTTACAACACTACATAATACAAAACACGTTCATGTTGTGACACTATATATACTCATCACCTATTTTTTGTATATTTTTTTTACATTAAAAAACGCTTTTTTTTTTAATATGATAAGAGAGTATGTGGGGGGGTATATGATTAACAAGATGAAAATGTTTTTTTTAAAGGACTGGGTAAACAAGGTTTAAATATATCAGTTCTAGCAGCTAAGAAACCTCGAGGTTTTAATGGGCCAACAATCTTGTTGGAGCGCATCATATTCACTTCAGCTATAATCATACGTAAATGAGCAGGGTTGGTACGCAGGCTTCTTGTCTTGATTTCTATTGTTGAGCTTGCTTCTGCTGTTTTTTCAGTTGACAGCTGCAATTCTTCATCTACAACTACTTGAATCCATTCTCGTGTTTTTTGGAAATTATCACCAATAAACCAGCTTTCATCGTCGTCATCAGCATTGCTACCAGAACGACAATAAGATGGATATGAGGCTTCAAACATCTTGTATGTTTCTAGAGGAACATCACTGTTATTATCTTGATGATTTTTTTGGGTTTGGACATAATAATCGCATAGGATATTGGATAATGTCATTGAGCTTATGCTTGAGCGATGACTGCGTTGATCAAATGAAGAGCCTTGTGAGCTCCAGCTAGAAGACAGATTTGACTCGTTGCTGCTGCCAAGATACATATAGTCTTCAGAATCATCATTATCTGCAATCTTGATAGGTGCACTTGTTACTGTTTGAGGTGTAATATAAGCATCAATGGTTTTTGTTGGTGTATGGGGCATCAGGCCTTTATGTTTCTTAACAAATGACTGGTTCCTGTCATTGTGCTGATTTTTGAATGATTTTAGATAACCATGAACAAGAGAAAAGAAATGACTCGTTGTAAAGAATAACGAAAAAGGCTCTTTTTGGACTTGCTTCTCATCTAAGTTTGACATAGAATACTGTATGAAAAAAAAAGAAATAAAAAAATTATTTATCAAAACGCTTAAAATATACCGAGGGGAGTATGCTATATTTACCTTTTCTTTGGGAACAATCCCGTATGGTGCTGAAGGAGTTGATAATTTCGCATAATTTTGTGCTGAAAATTCCTTTTTATTGCAGCTTGGCGAATTATTGGTGCCCTCTTGATGTGATACAAGCATTAAATTCAGCTTCTTTTTTTTTTTTTTTGATAGAAAGAAAACAAAGAAAAGAAAAGAAGAAAGTAAGCAAATCGATTTATTTTACATATAGTCTAAGAAGAGGTAATAAAAGATAAGACAAATTTAGATAAAGATAGAAAAAAAATGTCCCCTTCCCTCTCCCTCTTTTTCCCTGCCCGACTTTCCTTTCCTGAAAGCATAGTTTGTGATACTTGTTGTAACAAGAATATACAAGGAAAACTCTTCTTCTTTTGTTTGTATATACTAATATGAGCAATACAAACAACACAAAACATTACTCTTATCTTTTTCTTATAGGCATATGACACCATGTGATATGCTTATTCCCTTTATCCTGATAAACTTATCAGTGAGACACTTTACTTATCTTACATAACCTGTGTATGATGCAATTAAGAAATCCTATATCAGTTCTGAGAGATAATAGCTATAACATCATATGCTTGATCTTGTGAAGTCCTTACAAAAATTCTATATGAACCTTTAACGGCTAGTTTCTCTGAACCAAGTCCTCATGAAATTCGGCTGTTTCTCATGTCCGTCTTTCTGATAAACCGTTTCCAAATTAGCCTGTCAAAAGATACTTGTGTCGCTCTCAATTTTCATTAAAAAGTATACATTTTTGTATGGGTCTCAAAAATATGATTTTCAATCAAACTAAATCTGGTTTTTTGCTGTATTGTTGAATATAAAATGTCTTTTTTTGTTTGTTTGTTTAGTTTAATCAATGAAAAACTTTATTGATCTTACATAACCAACTGGCCACAGTATAGGACCCTCCTGTTTGATGCAGTAAACAAATAAGGGACCATTTACCGGCTTCAGATATGGTGACCATACCATCATATGTTTGATCTTGTGGCGAGTACATCAGCTTCATTAGTTTTCCACTTGGACTTTTTAAAGCTAGTTTATGGTGTGTTGCTCGGTACGCAATTCGACTGGCTTTAATGCAGAAATGATATGTCTGTAGAGGATACAATTGATGACATTGAGGCTCTTGAATATAAAACTCGTTTTGATCTACATAGAGTTGAACAAAATGAAATGCTTCTTGCCGTGGCTGTTGATAGGAAATGCGTATACAGAGGGCTAGAGGATAGTGCGTTTTGTTGACAACTTCTTGATGATGATGGTTTGTATGGATAGGAATAGGTTTTTGGCCCGCATAAACCTTGAGCCAGCCTGATGTCTGCTGAGGAGGCAAAACAGCCTTAATTTTGCATATTTGGTTGTCTTGGTCATCGGTCAGACATTGTGCAAGTCCTCTTAAGGTGGTTCCGTCCTGACCTTCTGTTTCTGCATAACAACTTGTGTTTGTGGAGTCCATTTTGAGACTTACATAAAAAATGCCTTCGCCTTCTGGCTCCATATGATACTTGAGTATTTGAATACGATGCCAAAAGAATGGGTTTCGGACATAGGGTAATGCAAAAAATGCAGCAGGAGAAACAGGTGGATCTAGGAACTGGTTCAGTGGCTTTTTAGGCAAATGTGTCATGATCATATCGATTGGTCTTGTCAGAAACCAGTGAGATTCCAACTTGTTTTCATTATGAGGATAGAAAGGCGATGCAAGCCAACAGTCAATCATGCGGTATTCACCTTCGATATTAACTATTGTCATTTTAAATGATGTGCTTTCTTTGAATAGCTATTTTTTTTTTTACCCGAACACCAAGCATGATTAATGGGCAACTTGCTTTTAGATGCTGAGGCCGTAGTATCCTGAGGAACTAAACAACATGGCAGTCAATATTTCTTGCCATCTAACCATACTCCCTTACCCCCTCCTTTCCTCTCTCTTTTTTTACCTGATAATAACCTTTTAAATAACCATAAACCACTTGAGCATCCTCAAATCCAGCAGCAAGAGCCATTTTGACCAACAGGTGCGCCATACCAAAAGCCGATTTGCAACTCCTTTTCTCTAGTACTTCTTCAGCTGACTCATTCATGCATTCAGGTAACATTCTTGTGTTCACAACAAGGGAAGTTGCTTCTTCTTCTAAAATACTCATGGCGTCCAACCTTGTTTCTTGCAACAGTAGCGGATGATCGACGTCCAGTTGCGTCATTTCTTTTAATCGCTTTCTTAAGTTAAAAGAGGATGCTGGTGGTTGTGTTACTATCTCTCGTTGTTTTTGTATCAGCATGTCGTTTCTTCTTGCATGGTATTCGGGCCGAATGTTTTGTACAAGCCAGATAAACAAGGCTCTCATTTTAGCTATTTCTTTCTTATAAGGTCTTGTCAGAAATTTTTGTGAAAGAATGACAGGCGTCAGCAATGGTCCTCTTTGTTGTACAGTAAAAGAATAGTTATCGATCTGTGTAAACTCGGCTTGATTCAACTCGAGTTGGCCGGACGCATCCCATGTTTGACTATAGTCATTTTAATGTACTGTAGAAAAAGAAATGGCCTACCTCAAGATTTCAAAAGGGTTGTAGCTATTGTCTTTATCAGGCGACTGGCATCGTTCAAGGCTTTCTTGATAGTCTTTTTGATATTGTTCTTTCGAACCGCCTTGCTCAATTTGAGTGCGCTGAGGTTGAAGTAAGCGGCGAATCTTTTTGCTCAGTCCTCTTTTCAATGGTTCAAGTGGCTCCGTTTGATCGTCTGTGCGCGGATACCAAAAATTAGTATGACGTTTTGAGCTTGGCGTAGAAACGATACTGCTATTACTACTGCTAGTAGTAGTAGTAGTGGCAGTAGTAGTAGTAGTGATAGTATGAGGACTATAACTTGTGAGAGATTGATTATCATCCAACAAGGTTTGTTTTAACATAACTCTAGAAGTAGTAATAGGATCATTCACTAAACAAGTGCCTTGAGAATGACGTCGAGTTCTTGCATGATTTCTATTTGAAATAGGTGCTACTTGACTGTATGACCTAATTCTGTTGGGATGAACTGTATCAGCAGCAGTAGTATAGCTCTTACTGGCATGAGACTTCAAAATAGATGTTGGTACCTCTTGATAGACTGGATTGCTTGCCACTGGTTTTCGATGTACTCGTTGTTGCATTGGCGATGGTGACCAAGTATGCTGAGAACTTGAAGTGCTACTGCTCTGACTGTAGTTCATCAATGGGTAATCGTCTGTTGGACGTCGATAATAAGACATAGGTTCCTTTTGCTTGTACTGAAAAGTTCCGTTCATCAATGTAAATAATGAAAAGGAAAAGAGGCCCTAAAATGACAATGGGCATAATATAAAGTGACTTTGTTTTCATTTCCTTTCAATAAATGTTTATAGCTTTCCTTTTTCTTCATACTTGTCATACGTAACAAACAATAAGGACAAGTTTCTCGGGACTTTTTTTTTTATTAATCAAACATGGCATCAACAACTTCTTCCATGGCTTGATCTTCTTCTTCTACTACAGTACGGATTTTATTATCGGTCTCTTCTCTTAGTAATTGTTCCTTGACTTCACGAGTAGGTGGTAAACGTTCATTTTCCAAATCGGATCGCTTAGCTTCCTCGAATGTAGTAATAGCTACAAGGAATGAGTATGTACATATCATTGTATTCCAATCATGCTTTACCTGATTTAAGTCCTTCCACACCTAAAGCCAATGTACCCAAAGGCAGCTTACCAGTAGGTGATAATGACTTCAATTCCATCACACGCTCAGAGTTCTCACGTAAAACAGAGAATACGCGCGAGATCTTGCCAACAGCCATGATTTTATTTCGAATGACAATCCTGCGTTGTTCTGCATCATCGGGTACGTTGTTTGTCTTGTCTTCCAAAAGTTTCTTGTCGTCGTCCGCAAGTTCTTCTTTACTGCATACATTAAGTACAGCAATAAGCATATCGGTAACTAAAATAAGGTGAGACAACAAATTAAGCTTTTTTTTCTGCCTTACTTTTTTCACCAACAAAAGGTAAACTCCAAGAGAACACATCCATAAAATTGGGTAACCAATAAGGATGAGGAGTACAGTTGAATTGACGAATATTCATCACATTATTTTCGTATTTCAGCACAGCTGCTTTGTTGTTGTACACATCAAGGTAATTAGGTGCGGAGAAAATAGTCATGACTGAAGGAAACGAGGTTGTTTTACTCTTTCTATACATACGGTATCTATTGCCATGTCAATACAACCATGCTTATTTTTTCCCTTCTTACCCGGCGTCCTGTGCTTCATGAGCACGAATGATGGACAATAAATTATTTCTTTCCAAGAATTGACAAGCAGCATGATAACTAAAAAAATAGGAACAACCTCGGACATGATTATGAATAAACGTCTCGTTGTTCTTTTCTTGTCCGAATTCCTCTAGTGGATCTGCCCAAAGAATATCACACATAAGGCCGTGCGTAGGTGGTTCACGGAATCGATCAATCTGAAGCATATCAGCATATTATCTATCTTGGTTTCTTTACCTTTTTTAAATCGTCCAATGTCTGTAATTCAGGAGAAAGACCGCCATGAATACATAAGAACTGTCTATTCATAATGGCAGCCAATGGCAAGGAACAGAAGGAATTCATACATGCTTCATAGACACTTTCGGTGTATTTGTGACGACCTATAAATAGATTAGTATAGTTTTATTTAAAGTCATTCTTTATTACAAACTTACACTCAATCTTGAAAGTAAAATAATCCGTCAAGTGCCTGCACTCATGATTACCTCGAAGTAAAAAGAAGCTGTTGGGATACCACATCTTGAGTGACCAAAGATACAAAACACACTAGACATTGCTTAGTATGAATTTTATAAAAAAAAAAGAAAGAGGGAGACTTACCTCAATTGAGAAATAGCCTCGATCAACATAATCACCGAGAAAAAGATAAGTCGTATTAGCAGGATCGCCTCCCACTTCAAACAATTTCATTAAATCATAATATTGACCATGAATATCGCCACAGACTACATAGACAATCAATATGATTCTTTTTTTCTTTCATTTACCTGTGATAGGTGCGCCCACTTCTAAAAGATTAGGTTCCGTCTTTAAGATCTCGGTACCTTTCTCGAGAATATATAATGCTTGTTCTTCAGTCAACCTTCCTTCTCTGTAAAAATGATCCTTCAAGAATTTTATGTCGGGCAATCCAGGTCTCTCTTTGCTCCAAAATTCTTCGTCCGCCGGTAATGTTACAGCAGGTGCAGGGACATCTTGTTTGAGTGTCAATACTGTGTTTAACCTAAATTTTCCTACCTTTAATAACACGATCTTTTGTACTAACAACAGTGCCATCTTCTTGTGTGAACACTGAGAAATCGATACGGGGTGTTTCGGGCTTGTTGCGAAGTCGCATCAAAGCAGGGCTGATACTTTCATCCATGACGGTCTATAGGTATGAAATAAAAGAAAGAAAGAAAAGAAAACGTGAAGTCGAGAAAAAAAATAGCCTTTGTGTAATCTTGAGTCGGACACACTGTACATGATGAATGAAATGCCTTAAAACTCAGATCAGCAGGTTTGTGTGTGTATGCATTCATTTTACAGCAAAAAGAAAGAGAGAAAAAATGGATAAGCTTTATGCGTACTAAAAAAGTCAATTGGATTGATAGCTTTGATGTGGCAAATCCAATCATTCTGCTTTTCTGTCTCAGTTTCTTTGAGTGGATTTGAATTCAAACTGTAGATCTTTGCTTGTTTCAGCTTGAGGTCACTTATCACTCGAAATCAAACCAATATAATCTTTGACAGGCATTGCCAGTATGAGTCTCGCAAAAAGATATCGAAGATTAGATTGAACCAAGCAAAAATCGCTTTTCAAGAGCTCTAGTTTCAAAATAAAATGTCTATACGAATCTTTTTTAGTCAATTCTACAAAAAAGTTTCCTGTTCTAAGCTTTTAAACACTCATAACTATGATATGCATTTACTGAATCACGAAAATGGCCAGTAGCGGTACTTGAAAAACATGATTGTGACTTGTTTGATGCTCTCGAAAGAAAAAAAAAAAGTGGGCAAGGGGACCTAATTCTTTTCCAGCTTCTTATACACAACATGGTCGTTCGTATTCGTCTCGCTCGCCACGGTCGTCGCAATCTACCCTTTTATCACATTGTTGTTGCCAATGCTCGTACTGGACGCAACAGTAAGCCTATCGAAAAAATTGGCGCCTACAACCCTATTCCTGATGAAGCAGGCAACAAGTTGATCAACTTGAACTTTGATCGTGCTAAATATTGGTTAACTGTGGGTGCTCAACCTACAGAGACTGTCGAGAAGATTCTTGTGAATGTAAATATCAAACTGGTTTTGTATGAATAACTAATGTATGTTCTATAGGCTCAACTTATGCCTCAAGCACCCAAGCCATGGATGGAACAAGCAGCAAAGAAAGTCAAGGAAGCTTCCAACTAATTACATGTATCATACCAGCACAAAAATTCTTGATTGTAAAATAAAAGCACAAAATATCTCTAGACAGGATTGAGAAAAAAAATGTATTCAGTAAATAAGGCATTAGTTTTATTATTCAAAATTGTTTAGGATGATAAAGGAAATGTTGACAATTAAACATATCTTCTACACTTTGTTTACGACCTGAAGAGACAGAAGATTGAGAGGATCCTCGTTTTCTAGCTGGAGTTAATCCATAAGCAAATTTAGAAGAATCACATTGAGTAGAGATAGAAGGCGCAGGACTATAATAATCAACAGGTGTAACAATACTTGAATTGACAGATTCAATTTCGAAAAGCAAACCAGGCTCTTCGTCTTCATTCGAATGCATGTCTTCTTCAGGAATAAATTCCCATCTCTGTTGTTGGCGTTTTGAAGGGTCGCTATGTAAAGGGAACAAAATGACTTTTTCTTGTTTAGCACAGACTTCAAGAACCCAATCACTATTGCTGACAGAATGAATAGTGTTCCCAAGAGGAGTCTTTGCTCGGATTTCTCTACCAAAAAGATGACGAGCAGGCTTATAGTCTGTATTGACAAACCATAATTGATTGACTAAATCTTCTTTAGAACATAAGCAAATCTCGGTATCTTCAATAAATCGAAGTCGACCTATACAGAGACATGTATGAATTGAGAGTATTGTGATAAGTGATGGCTTTACCTTTACGGATATCCAAGACAAGACCAGTGCTTTTATTTAATAAATATTGACCATCCCAGCGCCATAACTCGTTATCCGAGAATTGAGGCTTTACAACAAAGACTTGTGTATCTTGATTTACAATAGAACAGGACACTATTTTTTCGCTTGCAACATGTTTGATGTAAAGCCAATCGCCAATACTCATTTTTGGATGAGAGAAGCGTTTTGTTCATAGAAGAGAATTCAATTCAAAACCAAAAAAAAAAGAAGAGAAGAGACAGAAAACAATGGAAGCTGTTTATAGGAACTTGATCTGTGTCTTGAAGTCTTGTGATTTGTACTACTCAATGTGTGAACAAAGTTCGTTGATCGATGAATAAACCATTAACCGAATTGAAACATTGCCTTGTTTCCCATATCTTTTTTGTTGCAGTTATCTTTGCAGTAGTCTTCACTTTTATGTTCAAGCATTTATTTAGCAATATCAACATGTAAAAGGACAAATGAGTAGAGAAACTTGTTTATATAGGGAAATAAAGAG